AGCATAACTTCACTTAATTACAGTGGAATAAATACACCATAGTAGCATAGCTCCACTACATAAATGGAATGAATACACCATTAGTAACAAATAATTTTAAATAACAGATGAGTGAATACATTAGTAGCATGTTTCCACTCAATAACGGTTTAATGAACACATTTGTAATATAACTCCACTACATAACAGTTGAATGAATATAAGTAGCATAACTATACCACATAATAGAAGACTAATTATCTAAAATATCTAACCAGTTTACCAGAGCATCTCGTCAATTAAGAAGATATCCACTTCACCGCATACTGGACTAGGCAGTTTGATCAAAGGGCTTACAAGGCTGGTCTGTTGGATGGAATCTCTGTTAGCATCTTTCCTAACTGGAAAATGTAAACAAGGATCTGTGAGCTAAACTTTAGAGTTGAACTCTCAAAGAAAACTTCATATAAATCAAAAATTAATTTTCATTTTAAATTTCATTTTAACGTTTAGGTTTCTTTAAATATATAAGTAAATTTACCTTCTGATGTGTTGTACATGTGGTCATTTCTTGGTCTAGTGCAAACAGAACATGTTGAGAAACACAACAATACCAAATCCAGGTCAAGGAACTGCAAATGCAATTTTCAAAGTTACATTCAACATTTGTTCAAACAGTGGATGAAATTCATCAAGTTTATTTAACAGTTACACATTCTTTTGCTATATGTGAGTGTCTAACATAATTAACTGTTAAGTTTTTTTTCTTACTATTTAAATTTTTTCAGGGATTACTGTGTGATCAGTCTTTAAAAATATGTGATTTAAAATTAAACTAAAAAGATGCTTACAGTGAGTAAATGATATCATCCTCGTCTGTAGCACCCAAATAACTAGTTCCTCTTCTGCCAACCATTTCAAACTAGGGAGGTTAAATTGAAAGCCATATTTTAATTTTCATTAACTGTTCAGATTTTTGTATAAATGAAAATAATTTTATAAATTCTTAAATTTTTTGTTGTTGATGTAATTGAGTTTATCACATACCTTAAAGGCTGTTATTTAGTTGTCTCAACTTATGTATACCTCTAGTCAGGCCCTTGTGTACCTAGATGCTACCAAAGTCTTAGTGGTGCATAGAATCTTTTAGAATTGCAGGCCTTTCACATAGTGTCCACACAGTTGGTGGTAGAAAGTCATAGCTCTATAAGAAGGAAATTGAGGTCTGACAAGCCCAGCAGTGTCGTTAGGATAAGGGATTTGACTTGTAGGTAGATGCAGCATGTCACCTTTGTCTGAATTGATATACAGTTGTGATCAATCAACATTTTCAATAAACAATGTTATACTTTGCATTGAACAGACATAAGTTTACTTAAAATCCCTAAATATATTTTCTAGGAAATATTTAAGGACTTGATAAACAGACCTAACATATCGCCTACAGCCATGTATTTAATGATTTAGATCAAGTACTAACAAAAATAAAAACAGTTATGGACCTAGTGAACCCCTTAAATGAAGTTAAAAATACATACTTGTTCACTTTGTGGGATCTTGTGTAGTTACAGGTCCTAGAAACAAAGGTTGTGTAACAGTAAAATCAATCATCAGTTGGTTATGTCCATCAGGTGCTTCCACAGCAGTCATACTACAATGTGGAGACTGGAAGGAAAGGAAGTCAAATTTTTTAACGAATTCATTTGAAAATGTTTCCTTTGAAAATCTAAGAAGAATTTTAGCAGAAACAGTGATCAATAAAATATTTAAATGTGTTCTGCGGAGTATGTAAAGGCCAAAGAATAAAACTAAACATTGACAATGAGTAAAAATGATGGGGCTGCCATGTAAGCCCAAGATATAATACCTTTTTAGATAAAGCTTATTAAGATAATCAGTTTGAATCAAATTTCTTCTTTGCTTTTTTTAACACCCAGTAAAGCATATCCCACATTAACAATTGATATTATCTTTCCAGTCCATGTCTTCAAATCTCCTGCAATCTTCTCCAATTCACTCCAACTCTTTTCAATCGTATAGTTTAAATAATTAATCACTACCTGTCCCACCACTCTTAGAATTTGTTGTGTCATCTCCCTCACTGAACTGTATTTTAAACTTTTAGGAATCACTTTTGATTTTTTTTCTATTGAGCTTATTCATTGTTTGTAAAAACAATCAATTGTTGGAATTGTACCTGCTAAGAATAAGAATGTCACTGTTGCATAAATCGATCCATAATTTAATGTTCCTCAGATAACATTTGCATACTTTTCATACATATTTTATATCTCTTGCAAAAATTCACAATTGACAAGTTTTAATCTGAATTACCAGTTTGCCTTCTTTTTTTTTTCCACTTTAGTTTACACTTGTTCATTAAAAAAAAATGAGTGTTTACAATATCAATAAGTAGGCCTATTGACTTACTTGAACAAAACGAAATAATTCCAACACTACAAGCTGTACACTCAATCAATATGCTGCTACGACAGAGGTAGGCTATACTACAAGAATGTTATGTATGAATCATGAATTCAATCTTCCCGCCGTGTAAACTGGTCTGGTGAAATCCGTGATTACATCTCACCCCGGTCAGCCGATCCGTCACGCCTGCCTCTTGTTTACCTCCAAACGGGCTTACACACCAACAATAGATGGAGAGTTTATTGTTATTATTACTATTTACTAATGGAAAAATTCTATCCAATGAAATTTAAGCCAATCCAGTGCTGCGGCCATCCATTAAAAACATATGACAAAATAAGTGTCCAAATTGCTGGCAAGGTTTCAAAATTTCCCAGCGTACTGACTCGTGCATTTAATGTTTACGTTCGCAGTTCACACATCCCCTCTTTAAAACGTCACTGTTAGCACGAGAGAAGCCTAATGCACGGACGAATATCCTATGATGGAAATTAATGTTGCTTCTTTTGTGAATCGCTATTGCACGGGCCAAATGAGAGAGGGCGGTCCGTCAAGGTTACGACTTATTTTGGGACGGCATTTTCATTCCACATCAAAAACTTTTTTTTTTTAAATGATGTTTCATTCAGAAGCGTAGCTAGAGGGGAGCAGGGGTGCGGATCGAACCGTGTGACACCATCTGGTGAGGGGGGGTACCATATTGAAAAATATTTAAAGAGCACACACTACTCGGTCTAACCGAATTTTCAGAAAAGGATAACCTATCACGCGTACATTTTCCACAAATATAACTAATCCAAATGCGGGCTTTAATAAAAGTTCAAGGTTAATGCTTCAGAAATGAGGGGACCATATAATTGGGTGACCATGACCATGAGTCATCACCGAATGAAGTGTTTCGGTAACTTTCGTAAGTGACAGGAAGCAATATTTATCTAAATTTTGATAAAAAAGGATTTCCTTTGATATCAAATACAATGTGGTCGGGCGATTCAAAGTACATGAATCGAATCGGTAAAACTTAAACACATAAAATTTGTTTTTACCCATTTATAGGGTTAACAAAATAGATCTAATAATATACAAAAATGTATAATATATTTTAATAATTACTTCAAATTTATTTTTTATTTTTTAATTTTGAATAAAAGGTTTTTGAAACCAAATATATCAAAACCCAGAAATAATCAAAAATTAATTTTTTCGCTGATTCGTCACTAGCACCGCCCCTTAACATTTGAACAGGATTGACGGGTGTGCAGCTTTGAAGACCATGAAACGAAAGTATTTAATAAATTAAATTTTATTGTAAAAATAAATAGGCCTATAACTTTACGTTGTTGCAGTTCATTAATACATTTAACCTACCTCCTGGTTCTGGTAGTGTATGTTGCTGCATCCATGTACTGGCATATGTGCAACTGTTGGGGAAGCGATGCTGCTATCCTAACGGCTCCTAGCAGATGCCAGGGCAGCCTTGAAGCTTTCGATTGATGTCGAGTCCACGGCGGCATTGTCCAGGTGGTTCCAAGCGATTATTGTGCGTGGGAAGAATGATTGTTTATATTGCACTGTGTTACACCGAGGAACAGTGAAGCATTTGTCCAATGTACATATTTCTACTTCTTTCAAATGATTGAGCATGATCATCATGCTGGCTGAGTCTGGGAATACCACATCCCTGAAAATAGCCCCACATTTCAGGGCCGTCTTTACAGCAGCGGAGGCCCTGGGCACAGTAATGCATTGAGGCCCCTAACCATCTATATACTATATACACAGGGCCGTGCGAAAGAGGGGGCTAGAAGGCCAATCACTCCTGGCGACCATAAACAAGGGGCAGCAAAATCGTATTAGGATAGGCCCTTAATATTTAATTTAACAATAAAATCCTATGTACTTCACATAATATACAGGGACGGCTGTCAAGAGCCTACTATTTAAGTAATGTTATCAAAAGCTTTAGGCCTAGGTCAGTGGTCGGCAAACTCATTAGTCAAAAGAGCCAAAACTCAGCAGCAGGACGATTAAACATTTTTGAGTGCCTAATTTCTTTTCTAAAGCTATTACTAATTACCAAAAACTGAATTGATGTGAGGATCGAAAAACGTGTTAAAATAAACTGGACAAACTGTATTTCTGCTTTAAAAGTAAAATAAATGGCCTAAAATATTTCAATATTCACTAATAACATTGGCGGCATAATGCCACTCGATTCTAGACGACCTAGACGCGTACAGTTCCCTATAGACTATAGTGACTATAGGCTAGGCTTGATGCCCCTTAGAGGCGTGAGGCTCCTTGCCTTAAGAGTCTTGAAGCCCCCTCAAGCATGAGGTCACCTGGAGGCGTGAAACCCTGGTCACGTGCGCAGTGCGCCCATGCCTTGAGACTCACTGCTTTTCTCTACTAATTTCAGTAATGAGCAGTGGCGTAGCTAGGGTTATTACCGCCCGGGACTAACATCTTAGTCTAACATTGTAACATGATTGTAAACACGAATTCTTATTTTATTATTTTTTTTACGAATCAAATCTTGGTTAATAAAACTTATTGAGGAGAGTAATTTCCCTTTACGAAGTAGCCAACTTGTTATTCGCATTTATAATATTAATTCTGGAATGTGCCGATATTACCGTGGATAAAAATTAGGAAACGGGCTGTCCACTGACTTTTAAATCAAATAAAATCGCCCAAATCTTTCAATATTAATCATCAATATATAAAGCATGATGTCTCTAAAAGAGTGAGTATCCTAGGAGCGCGAGCCCCCTAGAAGCGTGAGGCTCTGGGCCTGGGCCAGTGCCCTGTGCCCACCATACCTGTCTTAAGTTTAAGTTTAAGACAGCACTGCCACATTTGCTTTGGGGCCGTCCATAAAATATACGTCGCTAATTTTTAAAATATTGTTTTACAACCCCCTCCCTGTCACATATGTCGAGTAACCCCCCCCCCACCCTTTTTTTTTAATTAAAAAAAAAAGATAGTCACACTTTTGAACAATTTAAAAAAAAAAACACAATAACTAATTAACATATTTTTAAAATTTTGTTTTACAACCCCCCCCCTTTCCCATATGTCGAGTAACCCCCCCCCCCCCCTTTTTTTTTAATTAAAAAAAAAAGATAGTCACACTTTTGAACAATTTAAAAAAAAAAACACAATAACTAATTAACATTTAATCTAAAACACTCTTCACTATTACATTTATAATTGACTTAATTGTGAACTCTTCTGGCAGAAAAAGAACCACCCCAATAGAAATTTAAAACAGCACTGTCAATTTCAGGTTTTATATTATATGTCCCCCCATGTATGATTTTTTTTTAAAAGTAAAATGTGATGTCACGTAATAAGTATTATTTTTATCTTTACCCGGGTCAAAATCAGGCCTAAATTATAGCATATTCAACTCACTAATGCATCAGCATGAGAAGACATTTTACGTCTTACAAAACAATAGGGAGTGATCCCTTTGAAGCACCTATATTTTGTAAATGTAGCCTACATTTTGCAGAGCCGAATTGTGACGGTGGAATGAATACATTCATTTGGAACTGTCTCAAAATTAAAAACATATCTTTAAATCTGATTTCATAACACTTGAGGAAAATAATTGAGACTTATAGAAACATAAAAAGGACAGTTTTCTAATCTTAAAACTCCTTATTTATGAAACAAATGACACTTTTGTGTAATTATTATTTCATTACTGTCATTACTAAAACTAAAACATCTAAAATAAAATGCTGTAACTCTAGATGTTTCCTTTAAAGTTAAAATAAGGGCCCTGATGGGGGCCCATTTTATAATTATAATTATCTGTAAGTGACCCTGATTCATCACAAAAATAGTCAAGTTAAAATTTAAAAGTTGTCCCATTTAGAGATTTAGCAGATATAGGAAAAATTTAATTAATGTCCCTTCTCCTCCCCCCCCCCCCCCCCACCTACAGTTGGGTGAATATTACGAGTTCAAAACCCTCCAGATTTTTATTATAGATTTTCAAGTGCATTTGCACCAAGTTTATTCTAGATCTAGCCATTAATTGTAATTTTTTTAAATAGCTTATTTAAGGAAAAATGAACTTTGGGTCCAAAATCCTGAACAGAATATAACCAAAAACAAATTCAAACCCAGTCAGCATTTCCTTCTGGATAATGAAGTGTAATAACTATGCATCCTAATTTTATCAAGATCCATTAATAAGATAAGATAAGATTCCTTTATTGATCCAAACAAATGGAAATGTTTTTTTTATTACATTGTACATTTACATTTTCAGCACATAAACAAATAGATATTTTAGTTAAGTCCACATTTTTCAACTAAAACAATTTAAACACAAGACATCTACATTAAATTATTTCACTAGTGAAAAAAAAAGGCCATTCTTTGAACTCTCTTAGTCATAACAGGGACTTATTAGTTCTCATTTAAATTTGTGAAATGTAGGCCTATAGGGTAAAAATAGGCTTATTTTCTCATGTATAAAGTAGATACATATTATAACAGATATATACATTGATGAACATTTAAATTCTGATTGAGAGATTAATTTTGTTTTTTTTTAATTTAAGACCTGCATCTAATTAAAAATCACCATTTACATATTGATGAATATCGGTATGAAGTTTGCTGGTTTTTCATTTTTCAATGTTTTGTACCATTATGAAGTGTCAGTAAAAAATATAGACAGAAACTTATTGCATGTAGCATTTAAGAAGATTATAATGAATGTAAAACATGTAAACAGTTTAATTAAAAACAGGAAATCTACTATGGACTGAAACATTCCTCTACCAGTACTAATAAAATTCACTCACTCATCCAGTGACTCATCCAGTGACATACTTTTATTTGATTGTGATTTGGGGGATCAATCACAATATTGTGATTCTCTCTTCCCCACACACACTTACTATATATAGTAAATAATAAATATTATTAAAAGAACTCCCAGGACTTTGAACCCTTAGGTTCCCCAAAGCACCCTTTATGCATTCCCCTGAACTATGGGATAGTTCTAATCTAAAATTCATCCCAACTTATACAATGCAATCAGCTGTAGTTTCTTAAAATGGAACAACACATATTTCCATATATTTATATATGATTTTATTAAAAAAAAGTAATCTTTTGTTACTAAATTTATTTGCAACTTGTCCTTAAAGAAACATATTTTCTTTCTTTAAAAAAAAAATGAATGAATGTGCCTTAAGTAACTAAACTGCATATGCACATCTTGCTTTGTAATACTGGTACTTTGATCACATTGAATAACTTTTTTTAGCTTAAAAAAAACATAATAGGTAATGAAGTATGTTTTCCACTGGGTCTTCTAGATGCAGATGTTTCTGGACCCTCCATTCCCATGTTGATGAACGTGTCTGGTCAGCCTGAGCGGAACCACCTTAAGGTTGTCTATTAGTCCCTCTAAGATCCTTCACTTTTTGTTATCTGTCTGACATCCTGACCTATTTGTTACCTCTCTGAAATCCTACCCTATTCATTATTTGTCTAACATCCTACTCTATGCATTATTTGTCTGACATCCTACCCTATTCAGCATTTGTCTGACATCCTACACTATTCCTTATTTGTCTGACATCCTACCTTATTCAGCTGTCTGACTCTTCTTCTTTTGCCTTTTTACCCTGTCTGGGGCATAGGCCGTCTACAAGAAGTTTCCATTCATCACTTTCCTTTCCAGTTGCTTCCAGGTGTATCTCATACTTTTTGTGTCTGCCTCCAGCTCACTTCTCCATGTATTCTTTGGCCTTCTTCTCTTTCTTTTCCCCTGTGGATTTCATGTTAAGGATTGGTGATGCCATCTGTCTGACATCCTACCCTAATTTTCTGTCTTACATCCTACCATATTCATTATTTGTCTGACATCCTGTCCTATTCATTATTTGTCTGACATCCTGTCCTACTCATTATTTTTCTGTCATCCTACCCGACTCATTATTTGTCTGACATTCTGTCCTACTCATTATTTGTCTGACATCCTGTCCTACTCATTATTTGTCAGACATCCTATCCTACTCATTATCTTTCTGACATCCTGTGCTACTCATTATCTTTCTGAATCCTGTCCTACTCATTATTTGTCTGAAATCCTGTCTTACTCATTATCTTTCTGGCATGCTACCTACTCATTATTTGTCTGACATCCTACCCTACTCATTATTTGTGTGACATCCTACCCTAATCATTATTTATCTGACTTCATGCCCTACTCATTATCTGTCTGACATCTCACCCTAATCATTATTTGATTGACATCCTGCCCTACTCATTATCTGTCATCCTACCCGACTAATTATCTGTCTGACATCTAGCCCTATTCAATGTCTGTCTTACAAAAACACTTCTGAGAGAGCTGCACTGGTTGCCGGTGTGTGCTCGCATAGAGTACAAAATCGCAACGTTGTGCTACCGCTGCTTACATGACCTGGTCAGAAAGAGCTGCTTACGCCTTATGTACCCACTAGAGAGCTCCGCTCATCCGATAGTGGCAAACTCTCGACACCTCGTGTTTGCCTTGAGACTTACGGAAAGCGTACTTTCGCATTTGCTGGTCCAACAATTTGGAACGCCCTTCCTGTCGATCTCAGAAACAACCAGACACTGGAGTCCTTTAAAACCAATTTAAAGACACACCTATTTCGCAAACACCTTCTGGGATGATTGTCAACCTTATTTTCCAGTTAATGCATAATGGCTGTGTTGCTTGGGGTTGAAATGGCTAGAAAGACTTTGCAATTGTTTGCTAGTAATTAGTTTTTGTAGTGTTGCGTTTGTTTTAAATGTGGTAAATTATAGATTTGTATTTTGTTGACTTTGTACCACTCTTCGAGCCTTTGGGGATGAAGCGTGTTTTTGAAATGAACTTTATTATTATTATTATTATCTTACCCTAATCATTATTTGTCTGATATCGTGCCCTACTCATAATCAATCTGACACTATGCCCCGCTCTTAGTTTTTCAAACATCTTTAATGACTATGTGAAATATTTAATCAGTTCATTTTTGTATGCAAATTGCATTTGAAATTGTGTGTCTTTAATTTTACTGAAAAAGTTAACATAAAAGTCAAAGAAAAATTTATTATCTCTTGTTTTCATCTTTTATTTTTACCAAATCTACTGTCGATAAAGACCACAGTAAGGAAAGCATTCCGAAATGGAGATTTTGTTTTTTGCAAATATGTTCAAATAAATTAAAAATCGTGTTTTGTTTTTAAAAATATAATGACCTAATCAATTGTTTGATAAGCCAGCATCACTATTTCTTATACATTTTTATTTAAGAATGTAAGTTTTGTTGTCTTAAAAATGAGTGCAATTAATATCCCATTACTTGTAATCTCAACATGTATTTTATAATGCAGGAAAATTGATGCTGCCCCTGGTCGACTATGGAGTTAAGTGGTGAGTAGAGTCAAACCTAATTGGTTGGAAACCCAATCAAGCAGACTGTTGGTCGATAACACAGAATGGAAGCGCGGGATAAATCATTCACAACTACATTTGTTGTGTTCCTATAGTTTCATAAAGCTTATTCACAAATGCATTTGTTGTGATCTTATAGTTTCATAAAGCTTATTCACAAATGCATTTGTTGTGATCTTATAGTTTCATAAATCTTATTCACAAATACATTTGTTGTGATCTTATAGTTTCATAAAGCTTATTCACAAATACATTTGTTGTGGTCCTATAGTTTCATAAAGCTTATTCACAATTACATTTGTTTTGGTCCTATAGTTTCATAAAGCTTATTCAAAAATACATTTGTTGTGATCTTATAGTTTCATAAACCTTATTCACAAATAATGTTAATCATTGAGAGGGCAGAAGGGAGTGACTTGCAGTTTTGTGAAAAATTGTTGAGATGGGTTCCAAGAAATTAACAAATTAATTAAACTTTTGAAATAAAATCTTGATTTGGCATGATAATAATCACTTATAACATTTCTTATTTAAAAATTATATATAAATATATATACATGTAAACTTTGTTAGATCACAGTAAGGTTTAAAATTGGGCCTTAGAAACTAATTATATAATGTTGCCATTTTGTACACAGCATGTCAATGAGGTTTCTAGTGGATGATAAAGCAGCCATTGTGGGGGTGTGGTCTCATGGTGATGTCAGCAATTCAAAAACTACTGTGAGAGGTAATAATTGAAGGACTGCATTCAACCTATGTGAATGAAATAGTAAAACAAGGTATGTGGAAGCTTGAATCAAACGACGGGACAATAAGAAACATCCACATCTTACTGTCCTGTCTTTTGATTCAAGCTTCAACATACCTTGTTTTACTATTTCATTCTTGAGAGAGGTAAACTGGCCTTTTTTTAGTTATATTTTCCTGATGTTGTTGCAGATTAACAATAACAGCACAAAGGGGAGACAACTTCTTGTGTGCAAGACTAATATAAGTTTTTGTCTTTTCACTGCTATTTATTAATAAATTCTTAATCATTATTATTTTGTAAAAGTTTATTTAGCTAAGGGTATTTTAAAAAATAGGAACTTGTATTGTGTCTCATGATTTAAAAACACAAAATATTTCTTTACTATAAATAAATGTCTATGGGATATTTAACAAGTGGTGATTTTAAGATAGGACTCTAAGCTGTTGACATTTATACAAATTTTTAATAAAACTTTTCTAGGTGATGTGGGGTCCATTAGATTACCTTGTTGTAGATATGCCAGTTGGCACGGGTAACGTACAGCTTTCTTTTGGACAGAATATTCCTGTTTCAGGTATGTCTACAACAGAAGCCTACATTACTTTCTCCACATACAAGATTTCTATTAACACACTTACTTCATAATTTACTCTGCTGATTATATTTTATAAACTTAATTTTATAAACTCTAAATTTGTCAAGGTTATTAGAATTTTTGTTAAAAATTGTTTGACAGAGAATGAATTTTCTCTTTTTCTTATCCAGACTTTTACCAATAAAGCATTATATGTGTTACGACCTTTATTATACTTGAAATGTTACGGCCCTCTTGCGTTTCTAGGGTGTATGAATCTCTCAAATAAAACACAAGGTCCAGTGTAACAATATAATAATTTATTAGATACTTTATAAAACAGAACACACATCAGTCCCACTACCAACTATCCACTCTCCTAGCACTACTCTCTCGACTAACGTGTCACTCGCTTCTATCGCTACTCCTATCGCTACTCATATCGCTACTAACTCTTGACTGACAACTTTCGACGACTAACAATTCTTCTCTTGCTCTTCTACCTTTCTTCTCTCTCTCTCTGACTTCTAGCTAACACACATCCCCTTTTATATTACCACACAAACAACTCAGCCTACGCAAACGTTCCACACCACGGACTAACTTCACGCTCTGACCTCACGATCAACAACTCACAAAACACTCTCACGATTCACGACTCCCCCACCCAACATTCACAACAAACTAGTTCACAACAATATGAACTGTTCAAGTCCTATCATTGTAACCACACCTCAAGATCTGGCCCTGCTGGATGCAAGGCGAGCTATGGGCATGCTCAGACAGGTCCATATAAAATGTCTGGGAATAATAGCAAAACTTGACTGTGTTTGTGTGTCCCAAATGCAACCATCAAGAGCACATTTTTGGTGCAGATGGTGGCAAAAATATTGTTCAACAGATGGGGACAGAAATTCTAGGTAATTTTATGTCAAAACAAGTGATATATTAATCACATTTTAAATAAAGGCCAATTCTGAAAAAAATGTGTATAGACTTGTTGAGGCTGTTAATCACTGTTTTATAATTCTTTATCATTGAGTGTATTACTGGGTACTGTACCAGTTTGTTTTATAATTATATATCATTGATGGTATTACCAGGTTCTGTACCAGTTAATTTTATAATTCTATATCTTTCATTGTATTATCAGGTTCTGTACCAGTTTATTTTATAATTCTACATCTTTGATTGTATTATCAGGTTCTGTAGCACTGAGCGAAAGTATCTGTCACTTTTCTGTCTCTGGACACCTAATGGTGTTAGCAGAACCCAACAGCCCTACTGTAAGTAGCTTTTGAAGGGTTGAGCAATTTTTAACACAGGAATAATCTTAAATTGTGATCTATTAAGACCATCAAATATTAGTTTATTTTAAGTTGTGACAATTCAACACTTGTAATTTATTTGTTAGTTTAAAAACAAAAACAACAAAGGAATATTTTATAGATTTATTAAAATTAATAGACAAACTCTAGTAGTTATTCTTCATAAATATTTTCCATTCCATTTAACATTTCAGAGTGAAGTTTTTAAATCTATAGTCGTTAAAGAGATATCAAAGCTTCCATTGGAGGAACAAAGCTCTATAAGATAGCACAAACAAAAAAAGTTTAATTTGTGTGTGTGCTCAAGGATGTTGGTTGTGAGTTATTATAATTTTTGTCAGTAAAATTTAAAATTATATTTTAATTATTATAAACATATACATGTTTTTTAAATTAATATATATTTTAAAATCACTCTCTTTATTTCACAAAGTATAGTTTTATGTTTAATGAAGCTTTTAAAAGTCCAAGAAGTTATCATATTTAGCGCTTACTATACCTCTTCAGATAAAACCAATATTTGGCAGATCAGAAGCTAATTATAAAAATAGCTCTCATGTTTTGTTGTTCAACAGAAATGTACAAGTAAAAACAGCACGATCTACATTGAAATTAACAATAGAAAAAGAACCTGAGAGAGTGTTTTACTAGATGAACCAAAGAATTAGAAACAAAATAATATCCTTGGAGAAGTTTAAAAAAAGGAACTGAAATGGTAATTTACAATTATACATAATTGGATGGAATTCCTTTTATTTATCATAAAAACAACACAAATTCTCTTCCTTGGGGATCATTTTAATACTCAAGGTTATAGTATAGCTTGTAAAAATAATGTTTTTATTTTAGAAATGTATTTTTACCTATTTCTAGAGTATGTTCAATTGAAATTTTTTCATGAATTCTAGTACATCTTTCACATCATTTCAATCGTATGAGCATAGATTATATCAAAGTAAATATTTTTTAAAGAATTAACTAAATAAATTTTGGACAAAGAATAAAAGGTAGATAAAATAAGGTCGATGTCTGCTCCAGTTTCAGACTTTTCTTTCACACAATTAATGAATCTAAACCTCTCTCCCACTGGGAACAAGAAATTAAAGTTAAGTTTTTTTTTTTAACTAAAGACAGATTGAAAAAAATAATTAATGTTTTTTTAAAATGGTCCCGCTTTAGATGATTCTTAAGCTTATGTTTTTTGTTGAATATTTTGTGCACTTTTAAATTCAAGCAATGTTTATAAATGATAATGATAAAAGATTTGTTATTTGAAGAAAAGTTGTCTGAGTGGTAATTTTTTTCCTACTGTACTTTATCACATTGTTCCTAATGTTTCTATTTAATTGTCTTTCAAATGTTTGCTTGAATCAGATCTGGGGATGGCTACATGACATGGGATGATTTCAAGTCTTTACTTCATAGTCTATATTTGGTATTGTGGCAACAAGATATAAATTACCGCATTAAAAATAAACTTGGTCATTGACAGATGAGAAATTTACTTTTTAAAAAAATAATGCACGCTTCAACACAAGCGTTCTCTAACTTTTATTAGGATTTTTCTGCTTAAATCGACAATGTCCCTCAAAAGTATCATCTTTATATTACATCTGCTAAAAAGGGTTTCGGTAATGCTTTAAGAAGGCATAGTGGGCACCAACGAAGCATCACAGAGTGAAACATTGGAGATGGTGTATTTTAGTACTGAACTTGTAACATGTTGGGAATTGTGAATAATCATGGTTGGTGTCCCTGGCTGGCGTGATTAATGGGAAATTCGAAATACTTTCTGGAAAAATAGAAAATGAAATTGGGTCATTAATTAACAGATGCAGATTGTGTGGTGTGTGCATTGATTGAATCACAGATGAAAAACTTTTTTGCTTGCTCTGTTCACAGGAAAATGTTAACTTCATATGAAGGTGTCAGTATTTTAGTCTTAAGAACTCTTTTTTTTAAAGACAAATATTTTCACAACAAATCATAAGAATTTCTATTGAAACAGATACTTTCACATGGAAATAAGATTTTTTTATTTCTTTTTCTTTTTTTTTTTTAATATTTTTTTTTTTTTTTCTCAAAAAAATAGTTTCAAAAAAATATAATAATTTTTATTAAAACAGAAGGATGAAAAATTTTAAAAGAGTTTCCGTTAAAAAAAATATAAATAAAATTTTTTTATTTTTTTTTCTTTTTTTTTTTTAATATTTTTTTTTTTTCTTCTCAAAAAAATAGTTTCACAAAAATATAATAATTTCTATTAAAACAGAAGGATGCAAAATTTTAAAAGAGTTTCCGTTAAAAAAAATAGTTCTCAGCAATGTCATAAGGATTTCTATTAAAATAATACATAGTTCCCCAACAATATAACAATTAAAAGAAATAGAGTTTCACAATTTTATAAGAATTTCTATTAAAATAAACAAATAGCTCCACATCAAAATACTAAAAAAAATTATACAGCATACAAATAAATCCACAGGAATATATCAATTTCTATTCAAACAAATAGATTCACAATATAATGTAATAAAATATTCTATTACAACAAAAACAGAGAATTTAACTTTAACCAAATGATAATTAACAACAATATAACAATTATTTCTATTAAATCAAAAACATAATTCCAAAACAATTAAGATAAGAATTTCTATTAAACAATTTAATTTCCACATTATAAAAGAATTTCGATTAAAATAATACATAGTTCAGCACAATATAATACACATTTCTAATTTTGTTAAATAGTGTCACAAATTATTAAGGATTTCTGTTTAAACAAATACATAGTTCCACAACAATATAATTATTTCTGTCAAAGAAAGAAGTTACACAACAATGTAACAATTATATTCCTGTGGAACTATTTGTATATATAAAATTTCTTAATATAGTGTTATGGATATGTGTTTATTTAAATAGGAATTCTTTTGCAATTGTGAAACTCTATTGCTTTTAATATGTTACATTAAGAAATGGCGTCAGCAGGGCGAGTCTAGACTCTTATGCCCCCCCCCCCCAAAATTACCCCTCCCCGGTGCCACTTCGTCAGGACGGCCCCCACATGGGCCGCTCACCCAAGTCCCCCGCCTGGGC